TTTGGGCGTCAACTATTTCCCTATAGCTGGGACCTTAACAGGTGCTACCACGCCGGGTCAGGGTGGACATTGAACCACCAGCTATTAAGAGGCGGTTCCACGCTCCTCAAAACCTCCTGATCAGACTACTTGCTGTCGGATGTAGTTTATCGTCATACCCAGGATGGTAGAAAACTAGGTTGTTTTCAAACATTGTATTTCTTGGGAATGTGAACATCAAAAGAGGAATCTTCCAGGGCGACTCGTTTTCAGTCCTTATTCTCATCACGTTGATAATGAGGGAGAAGAGGATTGATTACCCGTCTGGAAAGGTCAATTTATAAATCACCTCCTGATTATGGATGACCTAAAGCTGTTTGGGAAAAGAGAAAATAAATTGATCCATTGTTTAAAGCAGTTCAAACATGTAGCAGTGACAGTGGAATGGAGTTTGGTATTTCCAAATGTCCAGCGCTTAACATGAAACGAGGGAAGAAAATGGTTTGTCGACGTATATCTCTATCATCTGGAGAATCTAGAGGCGAACCTGATGGTAATGGTTACATGTATTTAGAGGTATTAGAACTTGATATGTTACACACAGAAATGAAAGAAAAGATTAAGCAGGGGAAAATTACTCTTGAAATTTAATCTGAATGCAAGAAATATGGTTACAGCAATGAACACGTGGTCATTTGCAGTAATTTGCAGTAATTTGGGACCATTATTAAGTGGACGAAAGAAGAAATTACAGAGCTTGATAGAAAGACAAGAAAGATAATAATCGTGCAAGGTGCTTTGAGTGTTAACGCAAACGTCGAATTGTACATAAAATGAAATACAGGGTGTCCATAAAGTTCGTGGGAACTTTAAAAAATTATAACTTTATTTGTATTTACGATAGAAATAATCTGTAAAATGTTATAATACAATGTTTCAACAAGATTGGGCTCCTTGTCACTTTCCACTGCGTGTTAGAGGGTTAGAGAGTTTCTAAATCAGGAATTTCCTAACAGATGGATCGGAAGGGGTGGACCATTTTATTGGCCTCCACGTTCGCCAGATTTGACTCCATTAAATTTTTAATAGGGACATGTGAAAACAATTGTGTATGCAACCAAAACTAGTCCATTAGAAGATTTGAAAGCTAAATGTGATTTCAGGCATTAATGTAAATCATTTGGCAAATGTTTTCTGTGAACTGCAAAATCGTATTACCCTTTGAATTGCTAATAATGGAGGACATGTGGAAAGTTAAATAAAATTAAAAAAAAAAAAATATAGATTTACTTTTTTTAATCCTTTTTACAAATTATTTCTATCGTAAATACAAATAAAGTTATAAATCTTTTAAAGTGCACACGATCTTTATGGACACCCTGTATAAGAGTTCAAAATTGCGTTGAAAGTAGGCGGAGGACACTTAGATACCTGGCAAACAGCGAGGAGAATTTTTAAAAAATATGTGACGCAAAATATCGGTATTTGTGCAAAGGATATCATTGGCATGGAGGAATTCAAGAGAAGGTGAGACGGAAAGAGAAACGGAAATTTTCGAGGAATGAGACTAAATAGGAAATTATAGAGAAATACAATATTTAGGAAGCACAACAGAGCATCGTGGATATGGTTAAAACATGGTGCTCCGAAACATGCAACTTAAATCTTGATAAGTGCAGCACATGACCAATCCGTTGGTGCCAATGCCTTAAAATACTTTTTGTGACGTACGGTGGCCTTTAAAAATTAAGTATAACTCAAGACTTCAATCGTCCTGGGAAAGAAAATAAACTACATCCGCGTCCTGTGTAACACTATAAACGATAAAGACCTCTGATCAGGGGAGCGTGGAACTACCTCTTAATTGCTGGTGTTCCCAGGTCCACCCTGACACGGGGTAGTAGCATCTGTTAGGGTCCCCAAAGTTGGGTCAAAATACTATGAGAGTGTAAAAATATGTTTTAATACATTTTTGTAAAAGGTTATTATCATCAATGAAGTTTTGAAGAAAAATTATTATCAGTAATACATTTTTGGAAAAAAATATTAGCAGCATTAAAAATCCGTAAAACGAAACAAATCAAACCAAACCAAGACTTCAATGTTAAGATAAAACAGTATTTAATTAGAACCGCAAATAAATACTTAACAAGAACAAAGAAGTAAAAGTCAACCAAAGATAATTAACCAATTCAAGAAATGCCTTTCCAGTAGTGCGGCTGGGCTTCTATATCCTGAATCAAAACCCAAGTCATCAACGAACAATAATTCACACTAATTCGACTGGATAGTTCCGCTCAATAGTCACTGCAGTCAGTAGCCTGACACCGCTATTTATACACCTGGTGGAAAAAATATATTCATAAGTCCAGAGTGTTACGTTCGAACCTTGGTGTTGGTAGTTACTCATTTTCATCCTATATGGCATATAAACAAAACATCAATCCCTCTTAAACCTAAGCCTTCAGGTGAACATTATGAGACTGTGACTCATCTGATTGGAAATTGCTAGCTTAGAAAGAATATAAGAGGCACTATGGTAAGGTATGCCTTTATGAAACTGATCATTGTGCAGAAAGTAAGGATATAAAGTTGCAGGAAATTAGTGCTTTGCACATCAACTGAAGGCTTTCAAAAGCCCACAATATTCTTGTATTATGATTTACATACAGAAAGATAAAGGTATCAAGAATATTGCCATAGTAAATGACACAATTTGAAAACTGAGATGGCAAGATTGTTTGGAATTTGGGAAGATAATGTGAGGGTGATTCTAGTGGTGATTGGCACACTGGAATCAATCCCATTAAATAAGTGCGACTTCCTTGATGAACTTATCACGCCACACCAACTTGGAATACTCCAAGAATTAGCTCTTTTAAGCATTGCCCATAATTTGAGGAATGTTTTGTCTTTCTGAAGTCCTTTGTTAACAGTGACTTAACAGTATAATATATATATCTATATATATATCTATCTCTCTCTATATCTATATATATATATATATATATATATATATATATATATATATATACACGAGTAAACATCGGGCTGCGGCAAATTTATTCAATTATATCAAGTTCTTCTCAAAGCTTAACAAAAATCACTATACATTAGATAAACTAACCGCATTCTGACAATTATTTCCACCCAGTAACTTTTCCAATAATTTGAAATATAACCGTTGCCTAGCCAATAACTATTAGTAGAAAGTTTAAATTATCGCCCGGTTCACATTCCTCCCCGGTCTTTTGAACACAAGTAAAGGTTTATCTCTTGGGTTTCTGGTCCTAAAGTCTTCTCGTTCTCTTTCACTTCTACTAGCCCTTGCGTCTCAGTGGCATTATCACCTTGCTTAGGCAATAAACCCGAAATAAAACACTCGCCTGGCTACCTATTAGCCTCATCGATCAGCATATATAAAGATTCGATCTACAAAACAAAACACATGGCCTAAAGATTATGTACACGTATGAAACAGACTGTCATTACTCGGTATTGTATTCATTTTTATATATACATGCACTGATATCGGATACTTTTACACATAAATATATCATATTTTACGACAATATTTTGTATCATATATATGTGTGTCTATATATACATATATATATATATATATATATATATATATATATATATATACACTACATGTATGTGTGTATATATATATTATATATATATATGTATATATGATATATGTGTGTGTATATATATATATATATATATATATGTGTGTGTCTATATTATATGTGTGTATATATTATATATGTGTGTGTATATATTATATATATATATATATATATGTATATATAATATATATGTATGTGTGTATGTGTATTATATGTATGTCTGTGTGCATTTATATATATGTGGGTATATGTATATTATATATGTGTGTGTATATATATATACATATATATGTGTATATATATTATGTATATGTGCATCTTTATATTTATATATATATGTGTGTATGTATATATATATATATATATATATATAGTATATATATATATATATATATATATATATATATATATATATATATATATATATATATATATATATATATATATATATATATAACGGGTTGTGTGCATGAGTGTAATTGGTATTTTTTTCTGAGGTTTAGCTTGGTGCAGTAAAAAAAAGTGTAGGACAAACTGATAACGACAGAAAGTAATGATTCCATAAGAATACCATTGTAACCATTGCTCCACGGCAAGGCAACCAATTATTTCGCATGTACATCTAACTATTTCCTAAACAGACAAAACGAAAATGCTAAAAATGAAGAGGTAAAAGCATTTCTTTTTTACAGAAGGACAATTACAGCTCAAGCAAATTTGATGAAGAAAAAAATCTTATCTCCAGGAACTAAAGAAGGATGAAAGACAGACAGATAGATAGATAGATAGATATATAGACAGATAGAGAGAGAGAGAGAGAGAGAGAGAGAGAGAGAGAGAGAGAGAGAGAGAAGCCGGGTTGGAGATAAAAAACGAAAGAGATGGTATAGAAGAAAAACAGAAAGAGAAAAGGAAAGAAAAAAGAGAAATGGTGAGAGAAAAGGAAAGAGCGGAATAAAGAAAGAAATGGACGACTATAGAAAGGAAAGTGGAGGAATCAAAAATGAAGATATTGTAGACCGAAAGACGAAAGGAAAGAAGCAATTGTAGAAAAAAGGAAAACAGGAAAGAATAACGCTTTGATAGACTAGCGAAATGAATGAATGAATGAATGAATGAAAGAAAGAAAGAAGGAAGGAATGAGGTGTAGATAAAAGAATGAAAAAAGATTGAGTTTTTGATAAATGAAAGTAATGAATGAAGGTGACTTAAAGAAAAAGACGGAAGGGAGTCAGGAAGGAAAGAAGGAGTTGTAGAAAAAGGAACGAATAAAGAAAAAGGAAGAAAAGAAGGAGTAAGTTTTAGGGCAATGGAGGGAAGGAATGAAGGTGTTTTAAACAAAATAAAGGAAGGAGGAATACAAGGAGTTGTAGAAAAAGAAAGAAATTAATGAAGTAAGGGCGGAAGGAAGGCAGTAAGAAAGTAAGGAAGGATGCAAGGAGATGTAGAAAAAGGAAGGAAGGAAGGAAGGAAGGAAGGAAGGAAGGAAGGGAGGGAGGAAGGAAGGAAGGATGCAAGGATATGTAGAAAAAGGAATGAATGAACGAAGGAAGGAAGGGAGGATGCAAGGAGATGTAGAAAAAGGAATGAATGAAAGAAAGAAAGAAAGAAGGAAGGAAGGAAGGAAGGAAGGAAAGATGCAAGGGTTGTAGAAAAAGAATGAATGAATGAATGAAGGAAGAAAGGAAGGAAGGAGAAAAAAGAAAGAAAGAAAGAAAGAAAGAAGAAAAGGAACGAAACAAAATGAAACGGCAAAGAAAGAAAGAAAGAAAGAAAGAAAGAAAAAAAGAAAGAAAGAAAGAAAGAAACATACAAACAAACAAAGAAGGAAAGAAAGAAAGAAAGAAAGGAAGGAAGGAAGAAAAGAAAGAAAGAAAGAAAGAAAAACAAAAAAAACGAAAAGAAAGGAACGAAACAAAATGAAACGACAAAGAAAGAAAGAAACACACAAACAAACAAAGAAGAAAAGAAAGAAAGAAAGAAAGAAAGAAAGGAAGGAAGAAAGAAAGAAAGAAAGAAAGAAAAACAAAAAAAACGAAAAGAAAGGAACGAAGCAAAATGAAACGGCAAAGAAAGAAAGAAAGAAAGAAACCTGAATGAATGAAAGGAAGCAGCAAAGAAAGTGAGGAAAGAAAGAGGAAAGGATAGAAACGAAGCAGCAAAGAAATAAAGAAAGAAAGAAGGAAAATAAGAGAGAAATACAGATAGAAAGATAAGAAAACAAAGAAATGAAACGAAGCAAATAATAAAAGAAAAAATGAAACGAAAAATGAAGAAAGAGACGAAGCGCCACAGAAGGAAAAAAAAGAAGGATAGAAATGAAGCAAAAAAAAAGAAGAAAGAAACAAAGAAAGAAAAAAAGAAAGAAAAAAATTAATTAGGAAAGATAAAACCAAAGACAACTTAAGAATATAAGGGAAAAAAGCAAAATTAAAACGAGAAAGTGTCAGTGAAATAAAAGAGGAACGTTAAAAAATTTAGAATGCCAATAACAAAAAAAGTTCACAATAAAAATTTTAGATGAATATTTAAAGCATTATCTTTTGGCAGAAAGACTGAAATTTTCAAGAAAATAAATTTGGAATGACGGATTTGAGTAAGGTATGCGTCCAATGAGGCAAGGAAAGTCTAAAGGAAGAAGAAGATTGAGGTAATGGCAAGAAAGAAAGAAAGAAAGAAAGAAAGAAAGAAAGAAAGAAAAAACGAAACAAATAAAGAAGGAAAGAAGGAATACTGGAAGATTTGAGGTTTTTTAATGGAATTCGTTTAGACCGATAAAGTCGGCCAAGAATTCTTAATATTTTCCAGTTCCTTATGATGGAAGGAATTATGGAAATTATTCCGGAAGAAAAAGAGGCATTTGATTTGTGGATGCCGGAATATGTTATAACAAAATGGAAAACACGGATAGGTAATTGACTAGCGATTTAGTTTGCGGAAAAGAAGACGACGAGAAAACGATTGGCCAAATGAACAGAAAAAGAGAATTGGAAAAAGAAATCGTGCAAAAGAGATAGAAATGTAGTTGGCAGAAAATAAGTGATGTGGCAGAGAGTAGAGAAAGAGGACAAAGGAAATGATGAGTAAAGAAAGAAAGAAAGAAAGAAAGAAAGAAAGAAAGAAAGAACGTAGATTGAAAATGGAAGAAAAGAGAAGGAAAAAAGAGAAGCGGAAAATGATGAAGACAGTAAAAGAAAGAAAGAATTTGGGCAAACGAGTTAGAGATGTAGGTTGCCAGAAGTGAATGGCAATGAGAAGAGAAAAAGGACAAAGGAAATGATGAGCAAAGAAAGAAAGAAAGAAAGAAAGAAAGAAAGAAAGAAAGAAAGAAAGAAAGAAAGAACTTAAGTAGATTGAATAAAGGAGAAAAGAGAAGGGAAAATGAGAAGAAGAAAATGATGAACACAGTAAAAGAAAGAAAGAAAGAAAGAAAGAAAGAAAGAAAGAAAGAAGTCGTGCAAACAAGATAGAGATGTAGCTTGCCAGAAGATTTGTGATGCGGCAGAGAGAAGAGAAAAAGGACACAGGAAATGATGAGCAAAGAAAGAAAGAAAGAAAAGAAAGTACGTAGATTGTCTAAGGGAGAAAATAGAAGGGGAAAAGAAAAGAAGAAAATGATGAACACAGTAAAAGAAAGAAAGAAAGAAAGAAAGAAAGAAAGACAGAAAGAAAGAAGTCGTGCAAACGAGATAGAGATGTAGGTTGCCAGAAGATTCGTGATGTGGCAGAGAGAAGAGAAAAAGGATAACAGAAATGATGAACAAAGAAAGAAAAGAAGAAAGAAAGAAAGAAAGAAAGAAAGAAAAAAAGAAAGAAAGTACGTAGGCTGACTATGGGAGAAGAGGATAATAGAAGAGGAAATGATGAACACAGTAAAAGAAAGAAACAAAGAAAAAAAGAAAGAAATCCGAAAAAAGAAAGAAAGAAACAAAGAAGATAGGTAAATACGTAGCTTGCCTCAAATAGGGAAAGATTTTGGTAGATTTTCTTTAGCAGCATATCAACCTCCATGTTTTATTTTGTGCCGGAATCTAAATTCATTGAATGCTGTTGTATGGCTTTAACTACAGATAAACTATTGTTGGTCATTTTTGTATAAAGTATATTGTCGGTTATTTTATTATAAATAGGTATTGTTTGCAATTTTACTATAAAAATATATATTTTTATACTTTGATAGTGTTTGCGGGTTCATTATTTTGCTATAGCTAGGACCCTATCAGGTGCTACCATCACGGGTCAGGGTGGACCTGAGAACAACAGCAATCACGGGTCCCGCTCCTCAAAACCTGAGAACAACAGCAATTAAGAGGAGGAAGGAAATAAGAACTGAAAAATAACTTGAGTGGGAGAAAGATTAAAAATGAAAAGAAAAGAAGTAAACATAGAGAAAGAAATAGGAAAGAAAATAACATAGGCTCCGAAGAAGAAATATTCAAGATGCTTTATAAATAAGCTTAGCTTGGTATGGCACAAGGCGAAAATAAGTATAGATAATATAGTTTGCCAATTCTTCAAGTTGGCAGGGTATATTTCCTTAAAAATAAGCTTTCAGAATTCTACATTTTCCTGGGCTCGAACCACGATCACTGGCGATGAAATTTCAGTAGATAGATAAAAAAATAAATTTTGAAAAAGAAGGATATTTTTAAATCATTACGGTAGCTTACCAAAACTGAAAAGAAAATATAAAAGTAAGTTTTATAGATAATTTTTAAGATATTTTTATATGTATATACATTCTTTTTATAGATACAAATATTTAAGTAAATGCTCTGTTTATAATAAACAGTATTAACAACATTTACTTGAATGTCCGAGAAATTTTCATAGAAAATGTGCGTCCTCCGACAGGAATCGAACGTGTATCCTATACAGAACCGTCATATAGCCTGACGTGCTTTTGCCGATTTAGTCACAGAGGAGCGTTTCTGTTGCAAGGTCGATTTTACTGTTTTTAACCCACAATTTAACATGATTTTCTCTCATACATTCATATCTGCTAGATGCGTATCCAAATGTAAACAAATGATGTCACACATTATGAAATGGAGAAAGTTCGACAATTATTTTAAGACATTTTTTATGTATATACGTTCTTTTTCTAGATACAAATATTTAAGTAAATACTCCATTTATAAGAAACAGTTATAAACAACATTTGCCGGCCTAAAAAAAATGTCTTAAAATAATTGTCGGACTTTGTCCATTTCATGTATGACTTCATAAAGATAATTGCAAAAATGAACAAACGAATTCACAAACAAGGAATATTTAGAAGGAGTGAACTGAAAATAAAAAAGAAAGAAATGTAAATACGGTGACTAACTGTTATGGTGCAGGTTAAGAGCAAGGAAGAACAACACAAACACAAGAGTAGAAATAACGAAGGTATATTACACGAAATAATAATACATGTGGAAGGTGTTAGTATGACTGTCAGTCTGGTTTGGAGTGAACTACTATCGGCTCGACTCGATTCGATATTTACTTCCCTCCCCACGAGGGAAAGATGTGGCACAAGGCCGAGTTTTAGGTGGGTTTCCGAGCCCGTAGGCTCGGCCAAAAAATGCCCGTAGAAACTGTAAAAAAAAGAATCGGGTTGGTCAACCTCCCCGAGCGAGACTCTGCCCTTCGGCGGAGCCTCGTCCGGGTTCCTCTCTGCTCAGAGGCAAAGAGTTCGACCGTCAAGCCGAGAAGCTCGTCTTGATTCGGTATCTAGCCACCCTCCCACGAGGGTTGCATGTGGCACAAGGCCGAGTTTAACATGGGTTTTCCGAGACCGTAGGCTCGGCCAGAAAATGCCCGTAGAACCCGTATAAACGGGATCGGGTTGGTCAACTTCCCCGAACGAGACTCTGCCCTTCGGCGGAGCCTCGACCGGGTTCCTCTCCGCTCAGAGGCAAAGAGTTCGACCGTCAAGCCGAGAAGCTCGGCTTGATTCGGTATCTAGCCGCCCCCCCACGAGGGTTGCATGTGGCACAAGGCCGAGTTTATCGTGGGTTTCTTTTTGAGCCCGTAGGCTCAGCCAAAAAATGCCCGTAAAACCCGTATAAATGAGATCGGGTAGGTCATTTTCCCCGAACGAGATTCTGCCCTTCGGCGGAACCTCGTCCGGGTTCCTCTCCGCTCAGAGGCAGAGAGTTCGACCGTCAAGCCGAGAAGCTCGGCTTGATTCGGTATCTAGCCCCCCCCACGAGGGTTGCATGTGGCACAAGGCCGAGTTTATCGTGGGTTTCCTGAGCCCGTAGGCTCGGCCAAAAATGCCCGTATGACCCGTATAAACGAGATTGGGTTGGTCATTTTCCCGAACGAGATTCTGCCCTTCGGCGGAACCTCGTCCGGGTTCCTTTTCTGCTCAAAAGAGAGTTCGACCGTCAAGTCGAGAAGCTCGGCTTGATTCGGTATCTAGCCACCCCCCCCACGAGGGTTGCATGCGACACAAGGTCATTTTTATCGTGGGTTTCCTGAGCCCGTAGGCTCAGCCAAAAATATGCCCGTATAACTCGTAAAAACGAGATAGGGTAGGTCATTCACCCCGAACGAGATTCTGCCCTTCGGCGGAACCTCGTCCGGGTTCCTTTCTGCTGAAAAGCAGAGAGTTCGACCGTCAAGTCGAGAAGCTCGGCTTGATTCGTCCCTCTCTCTTGAGAGGCGTAGTATACATAGTGTTAGAAAGAGTTCATTCTGTAGTTATAGGTAAGGACCCATGACACTAACGCAGGGAAATAATCGGCACAACCAACGTAAAACAACGACCGTAGTCACACGAAAACCAGTTCGAATGATATATGATGTCGGAAAATTGTCACGTTTGACTGGCAGCCAATCTTAGATAAGTGCAATCTTATTTTAAAACAGTGAAGCCAGTAAAATACAAACCTCACAAGAGAATCTTGCGAGACACCACAACAATTGACGGAAACTGACTACCTTCTGGATGAACATTGCATTAAAATATTATCTCAATCAAATATATGTCAAATTCCAAATTTTTTTTTTATTTTGACGGCCAGTTTCCGGTTCATGAGACTAAATTTTTTACTTGCCAACGTCTTCCTACTCGCTTTATCACGTGAACGCATGCGCACACGCATATTCCGTCCACCCTTCCGCCATTTTACTATCCCTGTCACTTGATTATTTTTATTCTCGCTACAGTTATCCCCTCAGGTTTTTACCTTCGCCAAAAGCTTATTCAATCATTAAGTTAACTATTATTGATCAGAAAATGAATATAGGAAAACCGTGAAATTTCCATCGGTGCTGCTTGTAAACAATAATTTGACATAAGAAAGATTTATACTTCCACGTTACTAACATAAAGATTTTTTTCACCCCAACCGAGGCGACAAAGCTACTAAGCTGCAAGGGGTTACCGAGTAGGAAAGAAAATGAGAAAATGTAATTTGAAGAGAGATAACAATAAAAGAAAAGGCTTCAAGAAGACTGAAAATGGCGGTTGAAAGTATATTAATTTTTTGAATATCGTAGTTGACAGTAAAACAAGAAGAAAAGAGGTTGCTTAAACTAGAATTGCTACAGTAGAACACTCGGTTACAACAATAAAATAATGAGACCTAGTTGCCAATCTAGTACTGAACTTAAATTCGTGAAGTTGAGTTAACAAACAGGAAAGTTTATCAGAACAATCACCATGAAAATATCCATAGTAAAAAAAATAAAAAAAAATAAATAAAATAAATAGAAACACATAAACGCTACTATAAGTCTGTGGGAAAGGTATCGAGTTATCAATGCCGGATGATAATACAGATTCTTCTTGACAAATATAACGTAACTAATGCATTCGACACTATTCTGAAATTACCTGTCAAAAGTGAACACTGATCATCTTCCCGCTAGTAACGTTCGATTAGAAAGATCCGAATATGGAGCATCGAATTTCCATCGTCCCTAATGCGCGAGGAAGCTCATCTCCAGAGGAGCTTTCAAGCCATTCATTGATATGGGTGCTCTTTGACAAAATTTGTTAGATCGAAGAGTTCCAGTGAGTAGACATGACCTTCAGGAGTTGAACAATGGGGGCGCCCCGCATAATCTCGAAATATATCTCGACGAGAAACTAATTAATTTTTGAGTAATGGTAGCAATAATTTCATTGGAATAAACGTTCTATCTAATGCCATAATACGTGTGTGTATGTATGTTTATGTGTGTGCATATGTGTATGTGTGTACCTGTTTGTCTGTGTCTGTGCGTATTTGCACGCAACGACCTTTACAGTAGAAAACCATTTTTTTTTAAATAAAATATGGTGGCAATATTTTCTCTACACCTGATTCACAAGTCCTTATCTCCATTTATGTCTGGGCTCACATCCATCGATTTGTTTATCTCTGTTCACACACACACACACACACACACACACACACACACACACACACACACACACACACACACACACACAAATAGATACACATACATAGGTCCCTTTAAAAGAATGCGTTCCGTCATTTTCAAAGCCATATTTAAATTCTGTGGTACAAATCTTTCTTTACACACACACCGCACGTACACACACATATATATATATATATATATATATATATATATATATATATATATATACATAAAGAAGTAATCATACAAAGAATTAATCAGTAAAGTTAATGTAATTAATGGCGAAATCACTTTGCTAACAGGCTTAATAAAGCATTAACTTATTAACCACTCGTTTAATGACGCGATTTTTATGTTTAAAATTGTAAGATGGATTAGATGTTCGATCGATGTTCGTACTTTCGAAAATCAACATATTTTCATCATCAGACATTAATATTTTTTCTTTTCAGGTAACTTTCGAGACGGAAATAAATGTATTGCAAGTCGAAAGATATTTTTAATCGTGTGTTATTTATTAACGGCTACATAATTTAAAAAAAAAATTTTCGGTCTGCAATACATTTATTTTCGCCTGAGTCCATCCTTCAAATTTATTAATCAGCCATCCGTCTTTGCATGGAATATTGCTGTCATATATGGACTGGTGCACCCGCTGTACGTCTCGAGGTCTTCGACAAAATCCCGAGACAAATAGGCAATATGACAGGTCCTGATCTGGCATCTAGTCTACAGTCGCTTTCTCACAGACATGCTGTGGCTTCCCTCTGTCTCTTTTACAAGTATTTTCACGGCAAATGTTCCGACGAGCTACTTTCACTGGTTCCCAGACTGCATGAATTTAAAGAGCTACCAGACTGGCATCTGGATCCCACCCTTTCACTGTCAAAAAGGTTAAATGTAACCGTTGTCTTCTACTCAGCTTCTTCTCTCCCACTACCCGTATGTGGATCTCCCTTCCCCTTACTTGTTTCCACGATGACTACTATCTTAAAATATTCAAGTTTAAAGTCAGTCGACATCTGACATCCTGAGATTGTTCCCCGCCCTT